GCGATGCGATTACATATCAACGGTGCTGATCGTATCTGTACCACGCCATACCTGGACAGTACAGAGCCTCGGGCGTAAAAAGGGAAAAGCCAGAGGGATATTATGGTAATTTAGGCTGCGATTGTACCTGCATGCGAGAAATATCCGATAAGGTATTAAAAAGCGCATAGTGGCGCATTTTACGCTGATGTCCCAACGTCGTACTTCCAATGTTGCTTGATTGCTAATTTTGTCTCTTCATAACATTTTTATAATCGTGTTAATTGTATTAATTGATATATTAATTAATGTATTAATATATATTATAAATTTAAAATTATAAATCTCATTTATTATATAAATTATAAAAACTTAAAATTAATAAAATTATATCATTTATATTAATTAAAGTACAAATTAATATGTATAATTTTATTCTTTTACAATGCTTCTTTGTATTTTTTTTTTCTTACTCAGATTTGATTGCACACCGTCGACGTGTCAACTACTTCACAAATAGTTTTTTTCTTTTAAATTTTTTTTCTAAATATGCAAAAATAAGGCTGAACTTGAAGGATCCTTGGAATTTATTATGTTATTTGTTTTAATAATAGGAACCGTTTAATCTCTCAATAAATATCAATAGTAGAAAAAATTAGATTGATCTAAAATGCATAGTTTTTCATTTTATTGTAAATGTCTTTAAAAAATAAAGAGTAAGTATGTTTTTAAAAATAAATTACTAGTTTTTTTAAATAAATATGGTGAAATAAAAATATTATGATTATTAATTAGATCGACTTAATTTTTTTCATGATTAATATAAATTAAAATTTTATAATACACTTCCTATATTTTTATGTATATCGTGTGCCTCAATTGTGACTCTTGTAGAATTTGGTTATGGCATAGCTTAGTGTTAATTATGTCTTGTTTATAATTTATTATGGTATTAATTATTAGTCAAGATGTTGATTATGATTTATTGTGATTATTATTTTAGTTATGATTGAAAAAAAAATTTAGTTGATATTTGGTTATCAGACGCTAATTTTTTTTTAATTATAGCATTTGTTATAATTAATACAATAAATGTCTTAATTTACACAGGACGCTTTATTTTAAATTTGAGAGTGTGTCTCCCAGAATAATCCTAATATAAATGAACTTTTTTTCGTCAAATGAGTTTTTTTTTTATTTTTTTTTATTTTATCAAATTAGTCTCTTATTTCATTTTTTATTATTATAAAATATTAATCCATTTTCAAAAATTAAGAAATAAAATAATACAAATTTATTATTTTGTCTTTCTTTTAAATTCATTAATAATATAAAAATTATAATTATGATAATTAATATTTCTAAAAAATGTACTATCAAAGGGTAATTTTAAAAAAAAAATACTTTAAAAATATAATAATTGTACTTTTAAAAAAATTCTTAAAAAAACTATTATTTTAAGACGGATAGGGGATTAAAACTAACGGTAGTGCTAGAGGCCTCATCTTTAAAAAAAAATCAAACCAACACAGACCAATAAATAAATAAAATTAATTTTTCTTAAAAAAAAAAACCAACACAACCCAACAAATAAAAGGAGAAAAAAAAAACTCAACCTATATGGTTTGATAAGGTGAGTGAGTTAGATTGGACTAATTGAGTAATAAAATTGGCTGATCAATTAAGTTACTGATTAAAATTTTTTAATTTTATATAATTTTATATGAGTGCATACTGTATTTTTATTTCAAATTAGGAAGACTCGGACACCCAACCAGTCCAATCCAACTAACTCACCTTATCAAACCATATAAGCTGAGTTGATGTATGATATCTAATTTTTTAACACATCCTTACACATAATCACCTTTATAAAAAGAAAATATTTAAAAAAAAAAAAAGCTAACTAACACAGCCAAAAAAAAAGAAAGAAATTCAGTACAAATTCGAGGCCTCAAGCATTATTGGTAAAACTAATTGCTTGTTTTCACTTTTTAAAAAACACTTTTCAGAAAATTTTATTTTCTCATTTTTCGTGTTTTTTTGTTTTTACTGAATTTTTTTAATATTTTAAGCAATTTTTTTACTTTTCAGACACACCTAACATAAATACACCTAAAAAGTAAAAAAATTGTAAAAAAAATATTTTAAAAATTCACTAAATACCAAAAATATAAAAAAAATAGAAGAATTCAGTACATTTTTTTGTATTTTTATGTATTTATTAATTTGTTAAAATATTTTTTCACAAATTTTTTACTTTTTAGATACATCTAAGTAAGGTACATCTAAAAAAATAAAAAAAAATATTTAAAATTTAAAAAATATTCATTAAAAACAAAAAATACAAAAACTAAAAAAATCAATTTTTAAAAAATTTAATCTAAAAAATCCAATCCAAACCAAAACACACTTGTAATAGACTTGACATCCCTTTTACTTGCTCCCAAACTCAGAAAAATCTAACCCTATAAAGCATAATTAAGACACACTAGCATGTCATAATCACCCGACATTGTAAAAAATATGACAATTAATGGCACGCTACATTCCCTATCTATAAAAAAATAAAAAATAATGTGCTATGCTCAGTTTGTATTGTACTGTTTGTCTATATACATATAGCCGTCAACATAAAGTTGTTTGGTCTCGCAAAAAAAAATAAAAAAAATAAAATTGTTTGATCACCAAAATATGTTAGGTTCGGTTTGGTTGTGATTTGTAATCAATTTTCTAAACGTGTGTTTGAGTATGATGTTTGGTTATAGTTTTGAAATCAATTTTTCACGCTCTCTGCAGAGAACTCTGATGCACAGGCCGTGTTTTTTGTCAAAATTTTGCCTGAGGAAGTCTACCCGGAAGACCACCCGGATGTCCTTGGGGACGTCCACCCGGATGTCCTCTGAATTCCAGATTTTTTTTTTTGGCAATTGATTTACATACTCGAGAAAAATATTTTCTGAATTTTTTAAATTTTTTTATGTGTTTTAAAATAATTTTGAGTTGTATGCTTAGTTATGAGTTGTAAATTTTTATATCACATATCAAATGTCACATCAACAATTCCCCACTCAAATCAAACCTTTTTTCCAAAACTATTTTCAAAACTCTTTACCAAACAAATTTTCTACACTCAAATCATAATTCTACAATACACAAATTCAAAATAAAACTCATACTCTCAAATCACATTTACAAAACACAACCAAACGCAAGCTTAAACTTTATTATGGATTGTTTTGAAAATTAGAGTTAGAAAAAAAATTAAAAAATAATAGATTTTATGATGACGTTTTGATTGAAACTTCATATTACCAAAATGGTTCATGTATTCTTTGAATTATTAAAAAATATTATTTTGTCCTATAAACTATAAAACTTATTTATTAAATTATAAAAACGTATAAATTGAATTCTCTAATAGAATGGGTCAAACTGAAACATAACAATAGTTTAGGGAGTTAATTTATATATTTTTATATTTTATGCGCTAAAGTGACACTTTTTAATAATTTTAGAGATTTATTTATATATTTATAATTCGGAAAGTAAAAGTGATAATTTTGAAAAATTTAAAAGATCACTGTGCATATAACCTAAAAGTTGTACATGTACAACTTTTCAAGTCACCTTTGTTTTATGGATTAAAGTGGTTGAAATTATAAGCGCCTTGTAAAATTGAGTGATAAAATTATTAATATGATGGCAATATGATGTTAGAGATTTGAAATAAAATATATTTATTTATGTGTTAGTATTAATTAGCTTGGTTTACATTTATGAAATTACATAAAAGATGATTTTTTTTTTTTTCCGTAAATTGGGAGCAAAATAAAGGTTAACAATGGAGGAAGGTTATGGTGGATGCAAAAAGAATACGGTTGTAAATAATTAATTCCTTCTTGTTTGTTTGATTTAAAGGTTAATGGTAGTAAAAAAAAAAGTTTCCATTTAAATGTGCGTGTTTTCGAAAGAGTTGCCCGGGATATAAATTATTTATGGGATAGAATGAGATATTTGGCATCTTTTTGGGCTGCAGCGAGCTTAGTATTCCGAAAAACTTTACTTTTTTTTTTATTGCTACAAGTTGGGTGTCAGTTTGTACTGTATAGTTTTAGTTTGTTTATCTTTTTGTATTTTCTTTTGTTAAGTTTTGGTTTTGTTTTCCATCTTTCTTGTAAAGGATGCCTTATCCTCTTTTTTTCTTGGCCTTGTGCCTTAATATATCTTTGTTTGTTGCTGATCAAAAAAATATATATATATTCAATAAAAAAATTTTTGAGTGTACTTACATATCCTATGTAGTAAACATATTAAGATTATTATTAAAAAAAGAAATAAAAAAAAAAACAAACATGCACAAATTAAAAATTAAGAAAAAGTACAAAATAATAATAATAAAAATAATTCAAGATTTGACCGTTATGACAAAATAAATCATGAACTTTTTAATTTGGTTAATTTATACCTTAATTTTTTGATTTGTTTTCAGTTTAAACCATCTACTTATTTTCGTTAAGTAAAATTGACGGGAAAAAAAATATTTTAGTTATTTAACTCAAAGAAAAATAATATTATATATATATATATATATATATTATGTATACTTACATTAGGTTTAATGACTAAAATATTATTTTTCTAATAATTTTACTTAACAAAAATAGATAAATAATTTTAATTGAAAAAAATATTTTGAGAAACAGATTAAAAGTCAATTTTTTGAGATTATGTGATCTTAAAAAATAAAAAATTAAAAAGTTGAATTTTAATTTAGATGTCAAAATAAAGTTAAAAAATTATTTTATTACAAAGGTCAAATATTAAGATTTTTTTAATAAAATTTTTCTAAAAATTATTTATACAATTGTTGTTGGATAATTTTCATGGGGCGAGTTCAAGGCAATACCTACACCAGCAAGTAGAACAAATCCCCTGTTTTTTTTCGAATTTTTAAATTTGCAAATTATTATCCAAAAGAAAAAAACACAGAGCCTAGTGGAAACAAAGAAAAGGTGAGAGAGCTCGCCGAGCCTTCAAGTGTCGTGCATGCATTTCTATGCACATCTCTCTCTCTCTCTCTCACTTCGCATGCACATACCCCTTCTTCTCCGACCACCTCTCCGGTCACCGGAATCTGACCCACAACCACCCCCTCCACATCTCCGGCCGGCCAAACTCCGACGGTCGAAAATCCTAACCTTTCAAAGTAATCCAACAGTTCCACGAATCAAAGCCCATGTCTTCTTTTTCCTTTAATTCGCATCTGAATACAGAGCTGTTGAATATATAGCTTCACATATATAGTTATATATATATACGTGTTAAGGTTTGGTCTGTTTTTGTATATGCTATGATGCTTTGTCAGTTGACTTATTGAGTGTGTAAGAATTTTTTGAAACAGGGTTTGTTAGGGCTTTTGGGAATTGGGTTTGAGTTTTTTTGAATTTTGCAGATTTGGGTTCGTGAATGGGTTCGAGAGCTTGTACGAATGGTTTGTGTGGGGCTTCATCGTCGAATGAGTGGAAGAAAGGTTGGCCTTTGAGATCTGGTGAATTCGCCAATCTCTGCGATAAGTGCGGGTAATAAAATTCACATCAATTTTTAAAAAAATTAATTTTTTTTAAAATTTCATGGTATTTTTTGGATATCTTTTTTGTCTGAGATCTGTATGTTTTGAGGCTTCAATTTATGTCTTTAAATACCTCTTTTGTAGGGGTTGGTTTTGTTCTTTTTCCTCTCTCATAGGATTAAATTGGGTCTTTTTTAAATTCTATTTATGGGATCTGTTTTTATAGGTAATTGAGATGAGAATTTTATTTTGGATTCTTGTTTGCAGTTTGGAGATCATAATGCAATTTTGTTGGGTTGTGGTAGACTAATTTCTACATATTTTAAGGAAAAATGATTCATTCACAATTTCTCCCCCAAAAGAAAATTTGGAAACGTTGTTTCCTCAAAACTCTCCTTACATACATTCTGTGTTGCCATGTCATTAGGAGATTGTAGAAGAAGAAATTGTGTGGATGTAGCACTGCTGGATTTTAAAATTGTATTTTAGTGCATTGTCATAATTTTTCTATCAATTGGCACACAAAAAATATTGTAATTGACAACTTGATAGTTAGTGTGTACTAATTTTTAATTAGTTATTAATATCGGTGTCTATTAAAGCCACTCAAAACTTCAAAGTGGGTGGCTAAACCCATTTAACATCTACAAAACAATTGAATTATCTCCTCTCTTTTTTTTCTTTTTTTTTTTTCCTTTAAAAATATAAGGAAAATGCCATACATAAATTGATTTCTTACCACTAGATACAAAGAAGTGGGCAGTGGAACCCGCATTAATAAATACACGCGGGACCCATTATTTTGTATTTAGTGATAAGAAAATCTAGTGAAAAATACGTTTGTGTATAGCATTACTCAAATATTACTGAATTTAAATTTTAGTTGAGTATGATAATTATGTGAATTACAACACTTCCTATTGGATGTTTTTTAACCTTATGTAAAATGGGGGTTTGGGAACTTTTCTCATGCATGTAGGCATGTTATGACATAGATATCAACCCCAATAATTTTCTTACAAGATATTTTCTTTCCAAATAAAAAATAAAAAAAAATTTGTCCCTTGGTTTTAGACGTTGCCTGTTTGGCTTTAGGAACCTTTAGGAACTAACCTCTTAGATGAAAAACTCAAGAGAAGAGGACAGAAAAACATTACCAAGGGTTGTCGTGTGTATTTATGATGTTATTGTCAACCCTTTCATCAATCGAGTGAGTAATTGTATAACTCAACAAATCAACAAGAAAACAACTTCTAGAAGAGGTTGGAGAAGAAGAAGACAGCATACAACTGAGTGGCACGACTTTAATGATGCACTCCCAACTGCAAGATGTTGTGAAGTATTATATTTTGGTGAGTTTGAGGTCGAATGAGTTTGGTGGTCCAACTGCAAGATGTTGTGAAGTATTATATCAACAAGATGTTGTTTGAATGAGTTTGGTGGTTTAACTAACGAAAAGTAAATGTGTAAAAAAAAAAAAAAAACATTGAGAGAGTACAAAAGCATCAAGGATCGCCACCAATGTCTCTAAAGGCATCACTAATCACCCACCAATATCTCATTTGTTGTATTTTATATTCAGTTTGTGTAACTCAATTGAAACATACATAAAGGTATTCCCAATCAGAAGATTAAAAACATTGATCTCATAGAAAAATATTCCAAAATATCTATTATTTTGATTGATTGATCACACAATAAAAAGTTAATTATTTGATTTGTAAGGAATTACAAGCTTCTATCGTGCCCAAAATCAACAATAGAATAAGGAATTATACAGAACAATTATCAAAAATACTTAAAGCAATCAATCAGAATATTCTAGAATTAAAAACCATTATTAAATCGGAGGAATACTCGCAAAGAATCCATTGGGATTTCATCCCTACCCTTAGCAAAAAGGTTAACAATCAATGAAGAAGAATGGACAAAATCTATGTATTGAATATAAGATGATGTAGGATGAAGATCCCTAATGATGTGTTTTTACATCTATTTATACCAAGAAACTCCTAAAACCTAGTTTAATAAGAGAAGAAAACCTTTTGGCTTATGGGTGCTGGAGCTCAATAAATGACTGCTAGAGCACTACATGAAATTTTCGTTCAAAATAGTTGGTTCATGCTGCATCACCAGATGCTCTAATGGCTTTGTTGTACCTTTTTCTTGGTCCTAAGCCTGTCCAAACCTCATGAAACTCCACCTTAATTTCCAAGTTAAAAACTATAATTAAAATCCAAATATTAGCACACAATTAAGCATAATTAGAAGGAATGTAAGTTTGCCTATATTGAGATCTATACCTTGCTTTGACATTGTCAAGCTTTATATATATATTTGATAGTAGTCAATAGCCATTGGCCATAACATTTATTGGGGTGCGGCCATTGTTGTGTGATTATGGTGTTTGATGTGTATTTTGAAGACAAATCTGAGGTGGCCATAGTAATCTAATTAACACTGAGGAATAGAACTAAATTTATAGAATTTTTCTTGGGAGATGCCGTTTCTATATAAACATGTTAGACCCATATCCCACACTCATATCAATGTTGTCTTGTGTCTGATATAGTACATCGCACATGTTGGAGGACCCATGTGAAGTAGCTTGGGGCCATTTTTTGTCTTCCATAAATGGGGAGGTTTTACCTAACAACCTAAGAGAGAATAGGGTGCCGTGATATGGCAAGACACTGAAACATTTCAGGCCCCAAAGTTGACTATAAAGTAATTAGTTAGGTCCTTGCGCGCTCTTCATAAGAGTGTTTTGCATTTTTGGGGATCCTTTTGTTTTGAGAAATTAGGTTAATGATCAAAATATTAATCAGTTGGACTCATAGTTGCCATTTATTGACAATAATACATGACAAGCTGCAAATTATATTTTATAGGAGAACACAGACTTTCTCCTCCATATGATTATCTCAAATGTATGTTCTTTATTTACTCCAGGTCTGCTTATGAGCAACTAGTCTTCTGCGACACGTTCCATTTGAAAGATACTGGCTGGAGGGAGTGCTCTTTGTGTGGGAAGGTGAGCCAATAGTGCGATTATTTATATTCATATATTTACCTCCATCGCCTCCATCTTTCCTCTTCCTGGGCTCACCCTCACTCATTTCTTGTTGCTTTGCTTAGAAAATCTAATAGATTTTGTTGTTCACAGCGCCTCCATTGTGGATGCATTGCTTCCAGCTCTTTGCTTGAGCTACTTGACAGTGGTGGGGTGAGATGCATTGGGTGCACAAAAAGTTTGGGACTTCAACCTGTAAGATCAAGTCACAGATATATCTATTTTATCTGTCAAACACATCACACACATCTCTTTAGAAGTTTATGGTGTGTACACCCTGTGTCAGTGTTTCTACTGTTGTTGTCCATTGCAAACAAATGAGCGTGTGAAGTCATAGAATTGCACCTTTTTTAGAAATTGATTGATCTTAAGGCTCAAATTGGGACCGCATGCACATATACTTTAATGGTTGTTATCTCTACTTATCTCTCAATGGCAGAGGTTTAATTATATTTTTAATAAAATGGTGGAGGTTCAATATATGATTATGTATACTTTATGGTTAAGGGCCTTAAGGCCACGTTTCTGAACCTGTCTGGGGGCTCAAGTCCTCTTGTTTCTACCATAAGAAGAAAAAATATAGAAGAATGTTATTCAGTTGGCTCTTTCTTGCATATATTAGCATCAATATAGATAACATGATGCCAAAATTTTTGAAAGATTTTTCCTTGTGATTAGTTTTTGAAATTTTTCCTAAAATAATTTATGTGCTCCTAAATTTCCCCTGCAGGCCTTAAATGATGAAAAGCCTAAAGGACTCAGCATGTCAACAACAAATAATGATGGTGAAATGCGATTGACTTCTGTAGACAATCAAATGGATGGTGGTAATGTTGACAATATGAATCTTAAGCAGTCAGACAGTAATGAAGAACTCAATGGCTTGAAAGACTTGCTTCCATCTCACAATAACCACGCAAACAGTGGTCAAATCAAAGAGGAAGAAGTCTTGCCTGCTCCGGGTGAAGTTGGAACAATGAATTCATCAAATTTCAATCAAGCATCCGTTGGATCATCTGAAACTGCCAAAGTAGACACATATAAAACTAACATGGGAATCAAAGACACAGATGAATCGCTGGCTCAGACAAATTTGACTATTGCCTTGACTGCTCCTTCAGGAAACCCAAATCCCTTTCCTGGTGCAGTAATTGAAGAAAGGGAATCAGGAAAAACAATTTCTTCCTTGCAACAAGTTTCTAGGTCTCGTCATCTTTTGCCCAAGCCCCCCAAGGCCATCCTTGCTGCTGGTTTGGAGACGAATGCTGGTATGGTTCCACAGATTCGTGTTGCGAGGCCACCTGCTGAGGGGCGGGTGAAGAATCAGTTGCTTCCTCGTTATTGGCCTAGGATTACAGACCAAGAGTTACAACAAATATCCGGAGAGTATCCACATATAAGTCAAACTGTTTTTTTAACTGTCATAATCCACGTGTATAACCATACATTGATTGTTAATATAACCATATGGCATTCATGCTTATTCACTGATCCAATCAGCTATATTCTTAACTGTGTGATCTTCAAGCTCCAATTCCACCATCGTGCCATTGTTTGAGAAGGTTCTGAGTGCTAGTGATGCTGGTCGAATTGGTCGCTTGGTTCTGCCAAAAGCATGTGCTGAAGTAAGTTTCACTGCACTGTTTTGGCTGATAGGCACCATAACTAATTTGTTTCCCATCTGAGTTAAACTTATTATGAGCAAAATTGAATCACTATGCAGGCATATTTTCCACCAATCTCTCAGCCAGAGGGCCTGCCTTTGAGGATTCAAGATGTGAAAGGCAAAGAATGGGTATTTCAGTTCAGATTTTGGCCGAATAATAACAGCAGAATGTACGTTTTGGAGGGTGTAACCCCTTGCATACAATCCATGCAATTACAGGCTGGAGATACTGGTATTATTGAGTGCCTGCTTTACTTAACATTCAATAGACATGACATTTATAATTTTTCAATAGGCTCTTGCTAGCCTTTGACGGTTCTAAAGTTCTCCACTCTTATGTGACGCGTATGCATATTGCCATGAATTATGGTATTTACTAGAAACTATTATCATTTCAATGTACCCGCGATTTTCTCCTTTGTATTAAAGTGATGATAAAGCTGAATCTCCATACCTTTGGTCATTGTTATTAGCTCACATATATCATCAATGATGAGGTTTGAGATTAAAAGTCTTGTGTGTCATTCTTCCTTCATTTATTCTATTTTTTTGGAGGTTTGTTTTGCTATTATTGTTTTGCTGTTTAACTGTGTCTTTGATCCTACTCTGCAATCCACGGCTAGTGTATTCTGAAATTACATTGTGATGCCTCAATCACTTGATCATATGTTAAGTGCTACGTAAAAGCTACTGTTCAAGAATTCTTGTCAATTACTTGGTGTAACATATAAAGGGTCATGTCAATCATGAGATTAGCTTTGCACTTTTTTTTTGTAAATGCTATCTTTTTACTCTAAATAATCTTCTGTCTTCTTTTTTTTCCCAGTAACGTTCAGCCGCATGGACCCAGAAGGAAAGCTTCTTATGGGGTTTCGAAAAGCATCAAACAGTATTGCTATGCAGGTAATGGGCTTTGACGAGGGTTCTTCACTACTATAATATTTCTCTTGTATAAGGCTCAGTTCTCTAATATCTGCCTCCACATACTAATAAGTCTTAGTGAGTTTTCATGTTGGCAAACTTGAATTGTATAATATTGATGTAAAAATTATTAAATAAACAGGCCACCCATCTGTCTGCCATACCTAATGGTGCTCTTTCAAGTGAACCTTTCTTTTCGGGTGTTATTGAGAATCTATCCATGACGAGTGGTTACTCTGGCCTTCTTCAGTCGCTGAAGGGAAGCACGGATCCCCATCTAAATGCACTGTCAAAACATTTGAATTCTGCTGGGGGAGATTTCAGCTGGCACGTCATGGACAAGCATGGAAGTGACACGAAAGATGGTTTGCTGCCCCAATCAATGCTGGTGCAAGAGAGAAAAAGAAGCCGAAATATTGGGTCGAAAAGTAAGAGGTTGCTTATTGATAGCCAAGATGCTCTGGAGCTGAAACTTACATGGGAAGAGGCACAGGATATGCTCCGCCCACCCGTCAGTGAGAAGCCAAGCATTGTCACTATTGAGGACCATGAATTTGAAGAATATGAAGTAAGAAATTTTTCCACAATTCTGAAATATTATGTTTTTATATACCTTGTTCAATTAAGTGATCTTTTGTCATTCCAACATATGCGAGATATGGGTAATTTACTTTATTTTTTATTCAGGAGCCCCCTGTTTTTGGGAAGAGGAGCATTTTTGTGGCCCGTTTGACGGGGTAAGGATTTCATATCCTATCATAACCCTTTTTTGTATCAGAAGTTTGGGCATAAATGCTAAGTGAATCTCATATTGAAAGGACCCTTCCTGGATCATGTTTACAGAAACTCTACCCCCATGAGGGGAATCAGTTCCTTGGGAAACGATTTCTAAAACTATTGAGTAACATCTTTGAGAGCTTTTAAGATAAAGCATTTCCAATTTTTGTTTCACATCTTTAACAATGCTTCAATAATCCTGATCTTTTTCAAATTGCAAATGTTATTGAAATGTCAAACTTGTTGCCTTGTAGGAATACCATTTGGTAAAACTGTTAAAGCACCAATTGCTCCCAAAGCTTAAGTTGCTAAGAATGGGCCCAATAATGCTGAACTGTTAAATCATCAATTGTTCCAACTGCTTTATATGTTTGAGAAGACCTACAAATTTTTCAAGGGATTTGGTAAAGTAAATCTATCTAATGCTGAACTGATGTGGGTGATAATACAGGGGCCAAGAGCAATGGACTCAGTGTGATAGTTGCTCTAAATGGCGAAGGTTGCCAGCTGATATTCTTCTCCCTCCTAAATGGACATGCTCGGACAATATTTTGGATCAATGCAGGTTAGTTATGACATTTGTGTTTCCATACAAGGAAAATTCTGCAAATCAAAGAGCATTGAATAAATATTTTACACATTATTTTTGTGTCCTCAGGTGCTCATGTTCTGCACCAGATGAATTGAGCCCAAGGGAACTCGAAAGTCTTCTCAGACTTAATAAAGGTATGATGCTTCACATTGCCATGTTCTATCTAGACAAAGTGGATAATTTTAAGAAGGTAGTATGTCCATGTCCAACACACACCCAAGCATGCCCTATATTTTTTTAAAAAAAATTGACTTGGACAGAGTTGGACACTTGAGGGATGCATATACATCACTTAGACACATGAAACACGTTACTAACTTTAAAAAAATAACTTAGAATGTAATGATAAAAGAAAAGCAATATAGATTTTTACTTGTTAATCCGTCCTCCTAAAAACTTTAGAAATTCATGTTATGTTGTGTATTTTTTTTTATTTAACTTTAAATAAAATATTTATATACTACACATATAAAAATATATATAAAGCCATATACTTTGTGTGTGTTTCTTACATGTCGTGTCTTTTTTTTTTTGAAATTGTCATGATGGCATGCTCATGTCGTGTCACATGTCCATGTTTGTGCTTCTTAGACCCAAAGTGTACATTTAGAATATGGAATTTTCTTTTTTTCCACATTATCTTTTATTGTGCATTAGTGTGTTAATAATAGGTGGATTAGGGTGGGTCAGATCGTTCAAAAACAAGAGGGTGGGTCGGAAGGTTTTGGGTTGACATGTTATAAAATATAGGTGTGTCAGCATTATTTTTTTTGGGTTGAAGCCCTTGTGTATTTAATCTACTCACTGAAACCTGGTTCTGTGTGGCATATGTCCTATCTTATACAAATCTTGAGACCTTTTTTATACTTACCTGCTCATTCAACGGTTGCACAGATTTCAAAAAACGGAGAATGGTAACAAGCCATAGGCTGGTGCAAGAGCACGAGTCTGCAGGCCTAGATGCTCTGGCCAATGCTGCAGTGCTTGGAGACGATGCAACTGACCCAGGTGCTGCAACGGTTGCAACCACTACCAAACACCCAAGGCACCGCCCCGGCTGCTCATGCATTGTGTGCATCCAACCCCCAAGTGGGAAGGGCAAGCACAAGCCAACATGTACTTGCAATGTATGCATGACAGTCAAACGCCGTTTTAAAACCCTAATGATGCGAAAAAAGAAGCGTCAATCAGAGCGCGAAGCAGAGATCGCTCAGAGGAATCATTATTTGTGGGGTACTAAGGATGAATCTGAAGTCGACAGCACAATTAGACAGGTAACGTCTAACCGTGATTCTTTAGATAACAAGGATATATTGGCACAAAGTAACAATCTATCCCTCAAGTTACCTGAAATTGGCAAGGGAGGATTAGATTTGAATTGTGATCCGGAGCACGAAGAACACTTGCATCAAGGGTCGACAAATGTGAGCATGATGAGTCTTCTTCAAGTGGCGAGTTTACCTTTGGAAACTTATCTGAAACAGAATGGTCTTACAAGCTTGGTTTCTGAGCAACAAGGTAGTTCAGGATCACATTCACTGGCACAAGCGGCTGGAGAGAGTGAGGGACGGGTTCAGGAGGATCATTGTGTTGCTCCTGTGGTTCAAGAGCTGGAGAGCAGGGGCGATGACCTTGACCAAACTCGGAATGATCCTTCCTGAAATTCTTCTTCTCGACTTTATTTGCCTTTTTGCTCTTTTGGGTGGGATTTCTTTTATTTCTTTCTCTCTTTCTTTTCTTTTTTTTTTTTCTTTTCCATAATTACTAATTATATGTTTTATCTTCTGGTTCTCTGGAATATGATGAGCATACACACTATAGTTGGAGAGTGCAAGTGTATATGTTCTATAGTTTGTAACATACACAAATGATTTTTGTAGTTGCAAGAATATGTTTTGGATTTGACTAGTTAAACCATAAGCCATTTACTAGTTTCGAGATTACTTATAATTATTATAATTATTGTGTCAATGTTATGCAAGATATTCTTTGGTAAATATGAGATTTCTATTAAGAAGTGTATAATTTTTGTCAAAATAGATCATCAGTAATCACATTGTCATTCTTTTTAAAATTTCTGTCATCTAAACTTAGCCAGAGTACCTCATTTTCATTTTTTTTGGCTCCACAAATCTCTTCAAAAATTCTGTTAAAAAGGACGTATTGAATCACTATCTTCTGTTTGGCCATGCAACTCATTTTTTCCACCCTGTATTTTCTTTTCCTTTTTCTCTTCTTTTTTTTTTTTTCAATAGGCTTTTCTCCTTTCTTGGATTGTCAAAGGGACTACAATGACTTGCAGAAGACCAACTGAATCAGACTTGACCGTTGAAGTTGAAGACGAATTTGAAATTATCGCATGACAAAAAGTCTACACCTTTAATTCAAAATAGAAGTCGGTTGAAGACCGCTAACTTGGAGACTAAACTTGACACAAGGGGTCGTTTTACTCTCTTTGTCCAATGATAATGAGCTACACACTGGGAATAATCCTCTTATAGAAAAATAAGAGTTCCCAGAAAATAAAAATAAAAAGTGGGGAGAAAGATCTCTCAGCAGTATTCTGGATAGGGGGAAAACTAATTAAACTAATTGAATTCAAGCTAAGACAGAATTTATCTACAAAAATATCATTTCCCCCATATTATCTTCCCAAGGCATGGGAAGGTGGAAAAAAACCATATCTTTATCTTCTATATATCAAGCATAATCAACCACAAAAAAGAAAGAAAAAAATTCCATATCAACAATCAAAATCCTTCAACACTAGTCCTTCGAACCGACGACGATGACGATTTCCGGCTTTCTTGCCGATCAATTACCTCCAAACAGAACGTGGAGGAGCACGTTCGGGGAGGTAGAGACATCGGCAATGGAGGTGGCCTTGTTGGAGAAATAGATGGTCTTTGTGTCGTCGGAGATGGAGATAAACTTGACTTGGGAGGTGGGGTAACAATGCCATTCAGGCTCGGGGATCTAGACATATGTTTACCGGCAACTGTTCCCGGCTCTTGCAATGGAAACAAGCATGAATACTTCATGTCTTGTATTGTTTTCAGATGCTCAACGACGATTCTCATCGTGGGCCTTTCTGATGGATCGTTTTGAAGACATCTTTGAGCTATGTCAGCTACTGTTCTAGTTGCTTTTGCTGGGAATCGGCCTTTTAGCTGAGGGTCCATGATCAGTGATAGTCTACAATCATCGGCCAAGAAAGGTCGGCTCCACTTAACCAAGTTCCTCTCTTCCTTTGGATGACGGCTATCACGATTCTTCCTGCCAGTGAGTAATTCAAGAAGCACAATACCAAAACACCAAACATTGCTCTTCGGGGTGAGCAGCCCTCTCTCCACCGTCTCCACTGACAGATTTGCCAATGCCTGCAAAAGTAAGTAAAACAAGAAGCTAATAAGTGGAGACTCGAGGAGGTCATTACAGAAAATAAGGATTGTATTGGGTCAAACACAAGGATTTTTAAAGTAAAACTGTTAAGCAGTGATGAACAATAACCATTTACCGGGTGATATCAAAAGAACAAACCGATGACAGTTAGCGAAGCAAAGGCAGGCATAGGAACTGGTTGTTTTTCGTTTGAACATCAGGGCTTTTTAAGGTCAGGCTCTCAGTACATAAGTTGGATGACACGATGTTGCCTTTTTAAGGCTTTTCCCTTTGTTTAAATATTTTTTGTGGATCTTTTGGGAGGACTGGATATTTCAGTAGATACATAGGCATAGTATACTTGTATAGGTCCGATGTATTCGGGTAGTACTCCTATACTTTGGCACCCTTTTACTGAAATTAAAAATAAAATTGATTCTTCTGACTAAGAGGACTTACAACTGAACTGTTGGAGATCTCAATCTCCGGGATGTGGTTAATGCAACCATATCCTGAAAGCTTTGCACTAAAATCTTTATCAATCTGTATATTGGCAGTTGAAAATTCATTGAACATTGCCTGCAGATGCACGGAGAGCATTCAGTGAATATGACAAACAACTTTCATTCAGGCATCAAGTTCATTCACATGAAATATAATACTGCAGGTTAGTTCTGATACCTGGAAAGGCCCTTCCTCGTGCAAGAATGTGAGACCTTGTGCGGCACATAGAGCAATTTTCATTCGGGCATTCCAATTGATAGGGGTACCTTCCGATCTCCCAAAAAGCCGGTCCAAGCTACCATGGAAAAGCCTCTCATAAACCAACATCCTTTGTTCTGATCCCTCACGTGCATGGAAACCGATCAACTTACAGAGGTTAGGATGTTGCAAAGATGCAAGAGTGTTCACCTCATTCACAAATTCCCTCAAACCCTAGAAGGAAGAACACTGAAATGGTGAGATTATTTCTTAAAAGGCTCAAAATTTTTTAATATAAAAAAAAAAACCCAAAAACCAGCACCTTATCACATGAATCAGTATTGCCAACATATTCATTTTTCTTGGTTAGGGTTTTAATTATCAGCCGTTACGCATTGTATCGCCTATTACATATCATATCGTCCATTACGTATCAGGATTTTGGACTTCCCATACTGTTATTTATCGATACATCAGCCAATACTGTACAATATATGACCGTGTCGCTGATACCAATAGATATCCCGATACTTCTATCTAAAACCATTTAGATGCAAGATTAAGAAATTCTCAAATAGTCAATTCAATAAAAGAAAAAATTAAGTAATACCTGTGTGGAGGGGTGAAGGCGAGTAACAGTGGCTTCAAGTTTTTTATCATCCCCGAAGGAAGCTCTATATATCACGGAAGAAAGACCTTCTGACATACATCGTTCTGGAGAGAAATGATGGCAAGCAGATAAAATTTCTTCATATGAAAAATTCCGTAGTGTTCCTGAAGGAGGCAGTGGCAATGGTCCAGAAGCATTGAGCGGGCCACTGGCAGTCATGGATTTAAAGCTTCCCATAGTCTTCAGAACAGAGGAACTCTGAATCTGAATTTGAGATGGAAGAGGAAGTGGTTGTGGACTTGGGGACCGATGTTCCTTCATCGATCCAATCCGACTCTTGGACTCTTCTTGTACCTCGCATTCAATTGATGAAAGAGCATCTTGTTCTGCTGCGTTGAGATAAGACGGGGCAGACAATGCCCTTGTTCTACTGTTTGTTACTCTGTTTATTGGCTGAACTGGTTTCACTCGGGTCCTAAAACTAGGGGGTGCAGATTGCAAAGCACGGGTTGGGATGTGTGGTTCGGGTAATGTAGTTGGTGAATGTTCCTGAGGGTTGACACGTGTGACGTGACTACTCTGCTCGGGTTTTTTCTTCTTACTCTTCAAAACTGTGAAACAGCCCATCTTATATTTCAAATTTTTAGCTTAACCAGGTTTTACTATATATTCCTGCAAAAAGAGGGGGAAAATAGAAAGAACGCATATCAACACACATGAAATCTCAAATCTTAGTACTAATCTTACTCACATGAAAACAATAATGAATCAGTTAACGAAAATGCTATACAAATTAACAAATCTTATTAATTCCCGTGGCATACAATAATGGAACATTGGAATATCAAACAAGGCACGCCAATAATACGATACGTGTCACATCAATGAGTAAAAAAAGTTTGTAAGATTCGTATGGTGACATCACATAAAAAGGATTCCATTGTGCCTTAAATATGGTTTTGAGGAAGAAATCCATGACCGATATTCACATTAACAATTTTCCGGCCTTGGGCAATTCAAGAGAATTCTGAAGTAAACCGGACATTTCAAGATTTCAAGATTTAGAAGCAACTAAAAACACCCTCTATGAAAATTCAATATTATTCACAGAAATGACTGCCATTTTTTATGCATTACATTAAATGCATAAAATGCCATTGGCAATTCAAGTTCAGTTTAATACTCAAAAACACACCCTACTTAAATAAGTAAATACCACCATGAAGAACCAAAGAACCTTCATAAATCAAACATTCATACAATAATGCCTAAACAACAGATTTTTAGACATATAAGTGAGACAAATAGTGGGTCCCACGAAACGAAATGTGGGTCCCACGCATATGTGTCCATTCAGTGAAAACTCACCACTCAACAATGAATTAGTTAAGTTGTGAAGGAACCAACTTAAACTACAAATCACAATTGTATGTAATTATGTTTATGAACTTGTGTTTCTAGGTATGCACACATGTATGTAGGTAGCTAATACCCTGCCCTCATAAATGTCCAAAACAAAAAAAACAAAACAAAACAAAAAACCATAGAAATCAATTTCTGACAACAGAAAACTCAATAACACACCAATTAACATGAATTTCAAGAGATCAATTGGAAACCAATAAATCAACCTAGATCCAAAAAAGACTCAAAATTTCACAAAAAATAAAAAACAAAATCGGATGACAATTGACAAGTGGGTATCTCATTTCCATGATCAAAGGGGATCAAAAAGCACATATACAAACACAAAAAAAAAATTAAAACTTTTCAATTAATATAATTTTTAAAATTAAAATTCCAACTTGCCGAGAAAATCTGCCAAAAAAACCCAACAAAAATAAGGCAAAAGTAGATAAAAAATCAAACCTGACAACAATGGTTCTTGCAGCTTCGACTGATCTCGAGAGCTCTTCGGAAAAAAGAGTTTTTGGATTTGTCTGAATCAATTACCAAACAACAAACTGTGCAATTCAAAATTTTGTGAGGTTTGATATGGGATGATGAAGAACAAACCCTAAAACTAGTCAAATGTGAGGGAGCAAAAATGGGAAAGGTGAGAGGGGATTTTTTAAGAGAGAGAAAAGTAAGCTAAAAAAGATGAGAGAGAATTTGGTGAGGCTACGGGGAATAAAAAAGGAGCCCCAAAGAGGCAGTGGTCAAACCAATTAAAGTTATTCATTGTTTTTTCAAATTTAAAAAATGACAATAATCATTAATTGTTGTTCAGGGAAAGTTATTTCTTTTTACATTTTTACCCTCAATGTTTTCCTTTTTTTTCATAACAAAATAGTGATTTATTCATTAAAAAAATACTATTTACATAGGCTTGTTTGAGGAAGCTAAGCCACTTTTTTTTTGGTTTGTAACAAAAGTTAAAAGTTGATTTTTTTGTATTTTTTTTATTTGATAAGTTGGTTTTTAGTTAATGATTAAATTATAATTCTACCATTTATGGGTCAAAATATGCCACATGAGTGCAATTATAAATATTTTAAACTAAATAAGGGTAGTTTGATCATTTTATTATGATTTGACATCATAAACAAGTATTAATCAAAAAAATCAAAAGTAACTTTTTACCAACTTTCCAAATTCATTTGTCTAAAAAAGTCAAAAACTTGGTTAAAAGTAAAAAAATCACTTTTTACCATCTTTTTAAAATAGGCCATGGAAAATTTGTGCATACAAACTTTCATATGAGGGTCGATCTTACATGTATGGGTTTCATTTTCATATGAAAGCTTTATTCCATTTTGTCCTTAGATTTTTTTGTACATGAAACATTGTTTGTATTTATTAAAGTTTAGAATTTGGCTTCTCTAAGATAATTTGAAGGGCCGTTAAACTCATCATAGATTTTAGAGAAAATTAGTTTAGGGTCCTTCCCCAACTTTTCGTAATAGAAGAGATTCACAAAATTATTTTTTGATGTCTAAGGTCCCTAAACATATATCAGAGAAATTTGACTATTTGCCCACGATTCCTCTCTCTCTCTCCCCCTATAACCAAATGAACAAAAGCTTCAAGATCTTCATCTACCCTACTCCCAAATCCCAACTCTGAATCATCAGCCCTAGACTTAGACCCAAAAAACCCTCCTCTCTCTCCTTGGCGATTTGCTCTGGTGGATCGGTAGGAAGCAACGTCAGATCTACGGATGGTGAAGCGTTTGGCAGGGATAGGGTTGCTGAGCACAACTACAACACCCCAAAGGAGTCCACCCACCGCCTGGTACTCGCCTCTGCTGCGACACAAAGAAGAGCAAGAAGAAGACCTACACCAACCCCAAGAAGATCAACTACTCCACCACTTCTATATTCATCATCTTTTTGATTGCTTGAGATTTTGTCAACCACTGCTTCTATGTATATAACTTTCACTTCTCTCTTCTGGTTAATGTGATGGGCTCTAGCAATTGCCTGTTCCTCATTTTTTGGGTTTGGATCTGGAGCATATATGATGACTGTGTCACCGACGGAGATCTTCCACGCACCTGACCTCGAAGCAGGCTCCGCAGATCTGGCCTCTCTCGAACACTGTGCTGCTCAGTCCCGTTGTCGACATTCCGTACCCGCCCTTCACCAGGTCGTTGTACCTACATGCTCCTCCCACCGTGTCACGGGGGTCCACCGCCGCGTAGTACGTGGCTTGCGCGGATCTCCACTCTGTAGAAATAGAACTAGTAGTAGTAGCACTACTACTACCATCCCACCAGGATGATAATGATGATGATAAAGAGGGAGATGGATCGGATGATGAGGAATAGTGTACGATTACTAGTAATAATCCCGATGCTAAAGTTAATAGGAGGAGTAGTCTAAGATTTTGTATCAGATTAACAGACATTTTCAAAGCCAGTTTGAGAGGGAGAGAGAGAGAGAGAGAGAGTGGTAGTAGTAGTGGGCAAGGTGTCAAAGCATTTGATGTCTTGTTGTTCTACAAGGTTGATAACTTCGGCAAGGTTCAAAGGCCGAATATGTAAGCAAATCAGATTGAATTTTCTCCAGATTGTGTGAATTTTCTCTAGACTATGAATTTTCTCCAGATGTGTGAATTTTCTCTAGACGTATGAATTTCTCTGTGCCGACTTGCAGTTCATAGTTTTCACACCTGTGTTGACAGGTAACAAAAATACCCAGCAGAGAAAACCTAAAAGCTAAGAAGGTGTCCAATAGAAACCCATATTCATGTTTCCTTTATATAAATATATATCCAAAAATTCAAGCCTTGTATTTTTGTTAATATAATACAAAAACATTTAACCAGTTCAGTTTGTCAAGATTTTGGATTTTCTCTGGTAAAGGATTTGAATTTTCTCTGATTTCACATAGAAAGGATCCTATACAAAAACAAACAATTTTATTCAGATAAATTTCAATTTTCTCTAGAGAGAAGGGAAATTTCTCTGGAGATGAGGGAAGGCCAGAGAAATTCTCTGGAGAGTGGATCAAAGAAATTTGAAAGTTCAGAGCGTGAGATCAAGAGAATTTGAGTGAACCTTTTGGGAATTTCATTGATTTTGAGAGAATTTCTCTGGCTTAAAGAATTTCTCTGGCTTAAAGTGATCGAGAGAAATTCTTCATTCATTTTCTCTGGAGAAAATTTCTATCCAGAGAAATTCTCTGGGATTTTGGCCATTTTGTAAATTTTCTTTGAGAAATCCTCTGGAAGGTCTAGAGAAATAGAGAAACCTCCTAGAGAAATTCTAGTTCTGTAGAGAGAAATTCTTTCAGAAGTCTAGAGAAATTTCTCTGGATTGGAGAGAAACAGAGAATTTCTCTGGGTTGGAGAGAAACAGAGAATTTCTTTGGGTTGGAGAGAATTTCTCTGGACAGAATTTCTCTGTACCATAATTTATCTGGATCAAATTGAGGGACCTTAGACATTATGAAAATATTAGATGTTCTTTATACTATAAAGTTATAATACCAGGGACCCTAAAAAAAAAACCCCTAGATTTTATTCAAATGATTCGAATTGTTCATTTTGTAGAGTCAGGCCTCGTTTGGGAACAGACTAATTTAGTAACTTTTTGATTATTTAGCTAAAATATGAGCTAAAAAAAACTAGTATGTTTGGGATGACTTTTTGACTTTTTACGAAAAGATGTGCAAAAAGTAAAGAGAAAAGAGAATCTTTGACTTTTTGGTATGGGTTGTTGACTTTTTAGTTAATTTAATAACTTTTTGACTTTTTGGCTAAAAAGGAGGGTTCCCAAACGAGGCCTCAGTGTATATTATTCATGAAGAAAAAAATAAGTCAATCTAATAATTATAGAATTTTTATTTTATTATGTTTGTATATAAAAAAATGGTTTATATTTAAAAATATTCGTTCATTTTATTGAATTAATAATAAAAAAATCATATATTTTTCTCATGATCTTCTTTTTTCGGTTAATGTGAATATTTATGTGATTGAGTTGGCTTGTGTAAGTATTTGATGATTTGAGCTCGATTATTTACGTTGGATTTGAGTTCCAATAATTTCTAATGACTTGAGCTTAAATATTTTAAAATTCAATTGGGCTCATTTGTAATCCTATCAAAGAGTAGTAAAAATTTTGGTAAAAAAATAAAATAAAATAAAATGGGTAGTACAGAAAAAAATTACAAATCAATAATGCATTCACAAAATATTTATAAATTTATTAAAATTGATAAAGTTTACTTTGATTTTCTTTTTTTAGGAATCATACATTGAAGATTTCTACTAATAGGGCCAAAAAACTAAAAATATAACAAAATAGATTATTTTAGCTAAATATAACAAAATATACTATTTAATTCATAATCATTTTATTTTTTCTCACAAAAATAAAAAAATTAAAAAATTAACCCGTATCCCAAACGAATCTAAAAAGAATTTAAGAATGTTTTAAAAAAATGATTAAAAAATTTTATTTTATTTTATTTTTGTGAGAGAGGACTAAGTTAAGAATTAAAAAATAATTTTTAACCGACTTCTCAAATATGCCATAGAGAATGCAGGGGTAGAAATGGAAAGAGAAAAAGAAAGAGGGAGGAGGATAGGACAATTATGGCAAGTTCGGCGGTGGGTAATGAAATGAGGAGGCACCTCCTCTCTCTCTCTCTCTCTCTCTCTTCTCTCTCTCTCCTCAACAACCTAGATACATAGATTGATATTCAACGAAGATGGCCTCGACTGACGTGACAACTTGACAGCTCCCCCCATTGCCCATCTAGTCAAACTTTGAAAATTCAATCATAACTTATTATTACCAAATTTTTGAATTCATATTGGTTGGTTTGTAATCAATTTTTTTAGTCTATTTTTTTTATTAAGATATTATTTAGGGTCATCTAAATAAATATATTTTTTAATTTTTTTATAAAAAGTATATAAATTAACTTAAACATTCATATTTTTTTCTCAATTTTTTAATTCAAAAAAATAAAAATACACTTATTTAAAACATCCGAAATAACTCTTTAAATAAATTCGAACTAAATAAATTCAGTAAATAAATCATTAATCAAAATCATCCTAAAACATAGGACACGTTTGGTATAACATTTTATGCTAAGCATGCAAAAAATAAAATAAAATAATTATAATTTAAATATAATATTTTATTTATTTATAATTTTTAGTTTCAATCCTACCTTTAACCGAACTCACTTAGAGCATCTCCAACGGTGTAGCAAATGTTTCACCAAATCTGAGTCGAAAATGGATCATTTCCTTAATTTAATACTTCGCGCTCCAACGGTTCAACATCGAATCCATTTAATCAAATTTGCATTGGTCAACCGGTTGGTTGACCGGCCGGTCAACCGGTAACGGCAAAAAAATTTTTTTTTTTTTTTTTTTTTTTTTGAAAATCCTCACCAAAACGACGTCGTTTTGGTGAGGAACTTTTGGTGGTCGACCGGGTGGTCAACCGGCCGGTCGACCGGGTGGTCGACCACCTAGGCAAAATATATATATTTTTTTTTTTTGAATGGTTTGAACCTTTTTGTGAACTGTCTGAACTTTCTCCGGGGCGACCGGTTGGTTAACCGGATGGTCGACCCGTTCCTCTCATCCCAACGGTTAGGAACAGTGCTTTAGTGAAATGCTTCGCCTGCACTCAGTTTGGTACCATTTTTGCTGAATTCTGGATTTG